GCTACTAAGCGACACGCAAGTCGGCCGGGCCAGCACTCAGAAGCGGCGGCTGAGGTGCAGCAGCGGCTGGTGGAACTGGATGGCTGGTCTGCAACGCCCAGGGAAGCTGATGCATCTTGGCTGGTGGGGGATGCGCGAAGCGTTCAGAATACGAGCCAAGCGTTGCGCGCGTAGACACACTGAGACAAATGTGTGTCAGGTACTTGTCAAAACATGTTTTGGGCCTCCTGGGGCGCCCTCGCCGCCGCAGCTGGATCACCTCGAAATTCTGGCCTGAACGCACCCCTGGAGAGATAAGGGTTTCAGAGCTCCAGGGGGCGGCGACTCCACAAGATTGAGGCGTCAGTCTGGGAAAGGAGGCGGACTTCGATTCAGGTGCGCGGGTGACGCTGCTGATCTACGCAAGACGATGCAAACAGGTCGTACGCTGGCCAAGTGGAGGGAGGGGGCGGACGAGGAGGCGAAGGAGGACAGCAAACCAGGAAGCTGTCTCACCGCAGGGCTCCACCAGTCGAAGTTGCCGCCAGAGGCCCTGGACCCCGCCATCTTTCATCGCATCAATCTTCTCGAGATGTGGTTCGAGCTGGTGGAGAGCCAGCCGCACCTCAGGAATGGTATTGAGCTCGCCTGGCCCAAGGTGGTCACCAAGCTCCAGCGGCCCAGGCGGTGGAACAATGTTGTCAGCCATCTCAGCGCGGTGGTGGCCACCCTACTCGACCTGGGGTGGCAGCCCAACTCAGCCTGGGCTTGGACAAGCCCATCCGGCCAGATTTTACGAGTCCGACCTGGGAATCTCCAGGAGCAAGACTATTTCATGTGCAGATTCCAGCAGTTTCTCCACCATCGAGTCTGGAGTGGGGCCCAAGGGGGACACGCAGCAGGAGGGGTGCAGGATGGAGTCGATATCAAGAGCTCACGGTGGCAGATCGAACGGATGTATCGCGACGGGCAGAAGAACCTCGCGAAGGCGCTCAAGGCAGTCGGCGCCTGTTCAGCCTGGAGCCCCAGGAGACGTTTCGAGGCAAGCCTAGCAGATGACTCGGTGTGCCCGTTGTGTGGAGACCATCATTGCGATGACTATCACAAGTTCTGGGGGTGTCCGCTCCTGTTCCAGGCCGACCACCCCCTCACCCAGGCAACAGAGGACCTAGTGGACACCGCTCAAGGGGACGACCAGCCAGCATGTCTGTGGCTCCGAGGGCTCATTCCAGCAGGTCTCGCTCTGAAGGCTGTAGAGGACACCACACCTCAGCACCCCGTCCTAGTAGGGACTGGCGCTTTCCTGGACCCTCCCGAGCCGAGGGGCGGTTGGCGCCTCGGTGCGGTGGACGGTTCGGGGGGTGCTTTCTCGTCTGATCCCCGCCTGAGGCGTGTAGGATGGGGTGCAGGGGTCTGGGATGAAGATTTAAACCTCCTTGGCACTCTCCAAGGGAATGTCATAGGGCTCCAGACCATCAATAGGGCGGAGCTCAAAGGGGCCACCGAGCTCCTCAAGCATACCCAGGGGGACCTTATAGTGGTCACCGACTCGGCGTACCTCATCAGTGGGTACCACAGGGGCCCCCGTAGGCGAGCACGTTCCAATCGTAGGCTTTGGGCCGAGCTTTGGAGGATCCTAGGAGCTCGCACGGGCCAGGTTCAGTTTCTGAAAGTGAAGAGTCATGCCACGGACCCTGGGGTCCGCGCCCGTTTTCCAGCCTGGGCCCTGTATGTTAATGAACAGGCCGACGAATTCGCTGGACAGGCTGCCGCCTCTGCCGCCGTGCCCCAGGACCTGGTCGACAGAGTGCTGGCTTTAGACACACTCGCAGAACAGGTCCGAGGGCGATTGGCGGCCGTCCAGATGATGTGGTGGGCCCACTACCCAGTGGAGGAAGCTCCCGCCGAGACTAAGAGAGCTCAGCGCAAGGAGCGGAGTGACAATGCCTTCCAGCACCTGCTTGAGGTGACCGCCCACTGGCCCCAGGTCCGTGGCGACCAAGTTTCATGCTCCAGGTGTGGCAGGCAGACCCACAGGAGGTGCTGCGCCCGCTGGCTCAGGCTCCCATGCTCCGCCGCCAGGCCCGCGGCGGGAGCGAAGGAGCCCACCAGAGCCGCCCTCCCCGCCGCTGGAGGCCCGCCCCCCGTCCATCCTAGCCACCGACCCCACCTCGCCGTGTGCCGTGGGGTCCTCTGGTGTCGGAGGTGTGGGTGCTGGAAGGTTCGGGCCTCCAGGAAATTCAAGGAGCAGTGCACCCCACCCCGTAACAGTCAGGGTGGGGGGCACAAGGCCATTTTGAAGCTCACCAAGGAGCAGCTCCCCCCTGGCCTCAAGGAATGGCCCCGAGGGAGCTCGTGAGCCCCAATAGTCCCCCTAGCGTGTAGGGATCGAGACTGTCCGATGGGGCGAGCGCGCGGAGGAGGAGGAGGAGGAGGAGGGGAGGAGGAGGAGGAGGAGGACGAGGAGGAGGAGGAGGAGGAGAGCGAGGAGGAGGAGGAGAAGGAGGAGGAGGAGGAGGAGGAGGAGGAGGAGGAGGAGGAGGAGGAGGAGGAGGGGGAGGAGGGGGGGGAGGAGGAGGAGGAGGGAGGAGGAGGAGGAGGAGGAGAGGAGGAGGAGGGAGGAGGAGGCGAAGGGGGAGGAGGGGGGAGGAGGAGGAGGAGGAGGAGGAGGAGGAGGAGGAGGAGAGGAGGAGGAGGAGGAGGAGGAGGAGGCGAAGGGGGAGGAAGGGGAGGGGGAGGGGGAGGAGGAGGTGGAGGAGGAGAAGGAGCAACAATGGGGAGGACGAGAAGAATGACGAGGAGAGGTGAGTGGAGGGCAGGTGGGATGGGAGGAGGTGGGTGAGCGGCGCGGCGCGAGCGGGCGCGGCACGGCGCGCGCGGGCGCCGACCGCTTGCCCCTGGGGCCCCTTCGGACTCGGGACCCCTGGGGCCGTGACGCAGGAGGAGGGGGATTTCCAGGCTTTCCGCCATCACGTAGTGATATAAGGCTGAGCTCAGCACTTGGGAAACAGGTCGCGATCGATTCGATCCAAATACTCGCGCCTGGCCTTGGTGATTAGGTGGGGGCGACAAAGAATACCTAAGCCCCTGAGCTGGGCCTGACCGAAAAATCCGCACGACCCACAAAACCATACTCCAAGGTCTTTGTGATACCGAAGGGCGTGTGAGGGATGCGTCCAACCACCTGCCAAGTGTAAACTCCGTCCAAGGGGGGCTCGGGATAACTTGGCATTCACGGGCAGGGGAGGGATGCAAACGCTTTTCAACCATTCGGACTCCTTATTCTTAGAGCACGAACTGAAACACACCGAGCACGCTCTGCCATTTTCGGTCAGGGTGTGGGCAGAGGCGAAACGGGCCAGGGCAAGGAGGAGGAAACCGAGGGGCAGGGGGACCAGGCGGGGCTAGGGGAGCCCATTCCTTGGCCTTGACGGCCTGGGCAGCCTGGATCGAATCTAACCCTGCTCTGAGCAGACGCCTCCTGACAAGTCTCGCCTTACGTTCAACTTGATGCACTCGAAATCTGTCGGTCTCTGGGACCCTGGCCAGCTTAGCTGCTGCTCCAGCCAGCTCGTCTACACAAGTGTTGCCTATTATTAGCCAGCTATCCCACCCCCGCTGGACAACTTCTCTGGCTGAAAGGTGGGACGGTACCTGCGCAACAACAATGTCACTCGGCCTTCTACCCTGAGCACTGAGGGTGAGACCGATGCTGCGCCACAGATCAGCCTGTGGGCCCTGAGGACAGTCGAACGCGGAGGCGTACCACCCTCGAACAACCTCGGCACAGTCTGTAACGTAAACTACGGGCCCCGTCGTGAAACGGACCGTCCATTCTAAAGCCTGGAGCTCTCCCCTGGGGACCGTTTGGGCCGACCCCACCAAGGGCCCGAAAAGGTACGGGCCCAGCTCACACGGGTCAAAACTCTGAAACGTGGCAACCGCGCACCCTACTCTACGAAGCCTACTGTCGTGGGTATCTCTTCCCCCTGAGGCGTCCCCGAAAATAAAAATCGGCGAGTCCTGAGCCCCGTGGCCGAGACACCCAAGACCGAGACGCCCCTCGGGCAACTTTCCTACGAGACGGGCTTCCTCCTGAGCAGGGGCGGGCGGAGGAGGAGGAGGAGGAGGAGGAGACGGAGGAGGAGGAGGAGGAGGAGGAGGAGGAGGAGGAGGAGGGAGGAGGAGGAGGAGGAGGAGGAGGAGGAGGAGGAGGAGGCGGAGGAGGGAGGAGGAGGGAGGAGGAGGAGGAGGAGGAGGAGGAGGAGGAGGAGGAAGAGGCGGATGAAGAGGAGGAGGAGGAGGAGGAGGAGGAGGAGGAGGAGGAGGAGGAGGAGGCGGAGGAAGAGGAGGAGGCGGAGGAGGAGGAGGCGGAGGAGGAGGCGGAGGAGGAGAAGAGCATGAGGAGGAAGACGAGGACGAGGACGACGACGCATCAAACAACTGCGGAGTGGCATTCACACAGACTGCCTGCCTCCGTCAAGGCGTTCTAAGAACTCTAAGGCCACCCCCTAAGCGGTGAGGACTCCCCAATGGGAAGACCATACATGACATCCCATGTTGTGCTCTTCACAACGTGGCCCCCCCCAGTCCCGAGACATCTCGACTCCAACTCCAACTCCAAGACATGTTTTTGCTCGCGGACCGTGTTTCTGATGCCCCGGTCCTGGAGCAAGCCTCTGGATGCAGAAATTATGAAACACGCTGGTAGTTTTTTTGTTCGCGTCGCCTGGAACTCTTGGTAGATGCCCTTCCTCCTCTTGCTCCACCACCACCACCTCCTCCTCCTCCTCCTCCTCCTCCTCCTCCTCCTCCTCCTCCTCCTCCTCCCCCTCCACCTCCTCCTCCACGAAATCGTCACCCGAACAACAAGTTCTGGGGTGTGTTCTGGCCTGCATCTCGAAGGGGATCTGGCGGTTGACGAGGGCGCCCCTGGAAGCATCCGAAGGCCTCCAAAACGTCCATTCCCTCTCGAGTCTAGAGACTCCCTGCTCCAGGGGTGGGAAGGAGCAAGGCCGCGCCTGACATGAATGCCGCGCCCTCGGAGACGCCTCTGCCGACGCGCGCGGGACGGCAGGCAGGCGACGCACTGCGCAGCGCCTCCTCACCTTCCACTCACCTCCCCACCACTCCCCACCTCACCCTCCACCCCTCTGCGCCCTCCATCACTCGATCTCCCAGCCCCGCGCAGCGAGTCCGGGGGTCAAGCCAAATAGCAGGGACAAAATTATGTGACCATGCTCCTTTGTTCTGTCTGGTCTGCCAGTAAGACGAGGCCAGCAGAAATATGGCATCGGGTGTGTGCAGATGCTGCAGAAATCTCTGAGGGCTGGCGAGTCCAGACGATGTGTGAAGCGATGAATACTTTCCAGGGGTCGGGATCCACCAAAAGGGGGTGACAATGAGGAAGGGCATGCGTTCGATCCGTTGGCGCACCGAACTGCCGCAAACAGATGCCCCCCGCATGCCCCACATATCGGCAACTATCGGGACCTGCCCGCGGCGGGCGGCATCTGTTTTGGGCGGTTCGGTGCAAACACCGATCGAACTCACACCTCCCCTGGCCCCTCCCTTTGCGGGATCCCGACGGAGGGTCCCAGAAGCAGTTATTCTCATCCTAGGCCTGTCGGAGTCAGACAAAATGAGTGCGTGCGCACGGCCTACATGCCCCTGGCTGGCTCGCCCCATCCTAGCCAACAGCATCACGCAGAAGGCGCCAGCCAATCACGACTCATGCCAGTCGTTTTGCTTCAATGCTTAAGTGAAGCAATCCCAGCTGCATGCGAGCGAAAACATGAATTGCCTATCATCATGGCACACCCGAGAGAGACCAACTATTCCTATAGACCTGCCAGATGGCTCCACCTCCATTCTACAATGCAGAGATCCCATTGGCTCTTCTTGACATGCCCGACGTGGGGACAGCATCATGGGCCCATTGATGCTGTGAGTTTCGGACGACATTTTCTGCTCGGCCTCGACCCCGGGACAATGTCACAAATACTATACTGGCCGAACTTGGAAGTGACTGCTGTTGGGCAGTGGGCGTTCGCCCCATAAGCGGACAACGCTCGCGAATCAGGTCCATAAGAGCTGCCAATCATCGTTCCCATTCGTTTCTCCATCTCCTCTCACCTGCTGAATGGGTCCGCCCCCGTCCCGATGAAGCAGATGGCCTGTCGGCTCTGGCTGGGCGTGGGCGCACATCAGCAGCACCACCAGTATCGCCAGGGCCGAAAGGTAGACCTGGGCGTGCCATCAACGGCATTCACGAGTCACCCGTTCACCACCGTCAGTCTGGGCACCAGAATCAGAGCTCATCTCGCTGCGAAGTGTTCATCTTTGTGGCCCATGGCAGGCGCGCGACCAGCCTCCGAGCGCAACGGCGAATGTATCTCGAGCGACAGGAAGACCGGGGAGGAAGAAGAGAGGGAGCAGGCGGCGGAATCGCGAATCAAGCTCCTGTGCGCGCCGATACGCCGCAACCTGGCGGACGCGAGCTGCCAGAAGCGCCCGACGGAAATGCATGGATCTTCGGCGGCCGCGAGCCTGCGCACTGGTCACCGTTGGGAATGCTCAAACCTGCGGAATCATCGCGGAGGGCGGGCTCCGTGGGTGGATACTCTGCAAGCGAGCAGCAATCGACAAGACATAACAGTCAAGGCGATGATTGATAATGCGGGATGACGATTAGTAAAACAGATGGGAGAGAACGATTAAAACATAGGTTTCTGCTATTTCTGCATAATCTTCTGACTGGAGGAGAACGAAAAAATAGTTTTCCAGCCCGCGACCGGTTTTTTCTAATCGTCATCCCGGGCGCCGCCGCGTGAACACGACCCCCGGTCATTTATTATCGTCATCCTCCATTAACGAAGCGCTGGCCCGATGAAGGCTAGGCCAACTTTCTGGCCTACTCTTGCGCACAGCCCCGTGCAGGTGCACGGGGCGAAGAAACTGGGCCAGCTGCCAGCTTGCGGGAAACGTGCGGAAGCCACACTGGGCCGAGACGAGGAGTGAAAAAGCGCGACGCACGCTCGCGGCCACATCTCTCTGAACAATAATGCTGGACTCAACCCGGCCCGCCTCAGCAAGGACGAGGGGATCAGGACGAAACATGACTCCAAGGATGGGGGAAGCGCGCAAATGTCTACGGCGAAAGGAATACCGACAAATGATAGAACCGACAACAACATCGAAACCCGTTGAAGCCAGCCGAACGGACTAGTCGACGCAGCAACTGACCGAATGGAACCGATCGAACGCGGCCGACTCGGACTCGTGGTCGCTTGTCGGCGCCGATGCATCGGTGATGCCGTGCGATCCTCCGATCTCGTTCGTGAGCATCGTTTAACCGATCCCTACCAGCGTAGCCTGGGCCCTACTGGCCGATCTGGTCCCCCGGATGTGGACATAGGCCGCTTCCTTCGGGCTTCGAGGGGTACATTCCCAACAAGGGGTGGGGATGGGGAGGTGAGGATTGGGGACAGGGATGGGGAGGGATGGTAAGGATTGGGATGGGGGGGTGAGGATGGGGACAGGGACCGGTTCAACGATGCTGAGTTTGGAAGGCCCATGGGTCACCTCTGGAAGGCCTGCGCAAGGGGGGGGGGGGAGGGTGGCACCCGCGGCCCGAGAAAGCACCACCATCCTCGAGAAATCCTCTTCTCTGTGGCATTTCGGAGCCCGCGCCCCATACACGTCGTTCATTTCTAATCGTGCTCATTTCTAATTGTGCTCGTTTCTAATTGTTTCCGGCCCCCTAGTGGCCAGGAAGAGGCCCAGGATGGAACAATTAGAAATGAGAGGATCTTGGCCCCCCAGAAATCAAGGAATGATACCAGAGAAAAAAACCCAATCATAATCTTTTTAGGGCTGTAGGGCTATAAGGCTACAGGGCTACATGGGCTCTTGGGCGCTATATGGGCTATATGGCTATGTGGGTTACAAGGCGATAGGGCTATAGGGCTATAGGGCGATAGGGATATAGGGCTATAAAACTATAAGACTACAAGGCACCGGGCACCCGGGCACCCGGCACCCGGGCACCCACCCGGGCACCGGGCACCCGTCACCCGGGCACCCGCGGGCACCCAGGCATCAAGGCACCCGGGCCCGGCCACCGAAACGGCGGCGAACCCGGGCACCCGGGCACCCGGGCACCTGGGCACCTGGGCACCCGGGCCCGGCCACCGAATCGGCGGCGAACCCGGGCACCCGGGTACCAGGGCACCCGGGCCCGGCCACCGAATCGGCGGCACACCTCACCTACCCTTAAATCCGCTAGGACCCCTACAGAGGCAAGCTCTGATTGGGGCATTTTCGAAGAATTAGAAATGAACAGCGTGTACCTCTGGTTGATGGGCACTCAGTACGACCGTAGGGGGACGAATAATGACATAAGCATAAAAACTGGGAGGTCCGCGCGGATATCTCGGATCCGCGCTGGGTCCTCCCTGGCGGCGCCTCCGGGTCCGCTCCTTTCGCGCTCCGCGCGCCAGGGGGGGGGGGCCAGCGCTGATCCGAAAAATCCGCGCGGACCTCCGAGATTTGATGTTTATGTAATTCCTCGATCCCCTAAGTCGGGGTTGACTGGAGAGGACACGCGAGAGGACACGAGACCCTTCCGATGGCCACACTGCCACAGGAATGTGTGGAGGGCATGGGCCGCGAAGCACAGGACACGAGGGCAGTTAGCCTTGGCCTGGCGGGGCCGACCTGCTCGTCAACCTCGACTGTAGACCAGGGTTCCGTTCGGTGCTTAGAGACGTGCGCTTTCCTGCCACTTTCCTAAGCTCGGGGATGGACAGACCTCCCTTTAGTAAAACGTGGTTTGGTGAAAACGACCTGAGGCCCAAACCTGGCGGGCGCAAGCCTGGAAAATACCGGCCGAGGCGCCCTCTCGAGAACCGAAAACGGACAATTCACTAATCGACGTGTTCCTGTTGGGGGTTCTGCCCACCCCCGATGAGCCCTCCCGCGCGAAAGCGGCGCTGTCCTGCTGCTTCCCTGCTCTTTGCCAGCAGCGCTTCCCGGCCTTCGGCCTCCCTGGGCCGCGTCTGGGCCCCTCGGCCTGTCCACCGCGGCCCCGAGCCCCGGGGGCGGAGCACCGGCCCCCGTGGGGCGGGGTCCGAGAGCTCCGGGGGCGGGCGGCTCGAACAGGATCGACCTGCCGGAGGTCTGACCCTCCGCCCCTCGGCGCCCGACGCCGCGGGCGACAGGACGAACAACGGAACTCTCGATGCCCCTGCGCCGCGCGTTGCTCTTCAGCCAGAGCGACCCGCGATGGCCCCGAGGGCCGAAACGGAGCGAGCACGCCCGTCGTGGTGCCGTGTCGTGGCGGCGTCCAGGTGTGAGGATCCCTTCCCGCGGGCCCAGGGGCCTCCCAGCATGGGTCGGGACATCGCGCCGCCGCATCGCCCGTGCATCGCATCGGGGAGGTGCGCGGGCGCCGTCGGCGTGGAGAACATCGGCCTCCACATCCGGCCGCATCGCCGATGCATCGGCGAGGCGGCGCGATCCTCCGACCCCATCTTTGGATAATCGGACTCTGGGATATGGCATAGAGGCCTCGGGCGGCTGCTCGGGCCAACTCCGGTGTCCCCAGGAGGCCCTCGCCGTGGCGCAGCCGTCGGGAAGCACTCCTGCGCCCAAGCGCACCTCTGAAAACGTGCGTCGGCCTCCCTCGGGAGCTGCTGAGGGAGAACTTTACACGAAGGGCCAGCTCAAGGGGGGAACCATCGACGTGCATTCGGCGATACATATACATGAACATATATGTATATTTTCATACATACATACACGCATACATACATGCATACATACACACATACACATACATACATACATACATACATACACACATACATACATACAGACATACATGCATGCATCCATGCATACATACACATACAAACACACGCACACACATACATACACATACACACATACATACGCAACTGCACACATACATACATATATACATACATACACACATCCATACATAAAGGTATGCACACATATACATCCATCCATCCATCCGTCCATACATACATACATACATTCATCCACACATGCATGCATGCATGCATGCATGCATACATACATACATACAAACATACATGCATGCATGCATACATACATCCACACATACACACATACACACATCCACACATACATACACACAGCCGTCCATCCGTCCATCCAATTTTAAATACATACATGCATACACAAAAATACATATATACATATATGTATGTGTATACATATTCGTACATTTAGTTACACAAGACTGCATTGGCGCTTCGCGCCATGCACCTTGGTCCTTGAGGCTTTGCCTATGTTGGTCGTTCGCGCCGTCCCTTGTGGCCTTGGAAAGTTGCCCCCCTCCCTGCGGTGGTTTTCGGACATCTTCGAAGGTTCGGGCGGTCCTTGGCCCTTCCTGGGCCTTTGGAGGCTCCCGAGTGGCGCCGTGCGGAGGGCGAACGACAGGATGGAGGAATCTCGGGGAGCGAGGGAGAGGGAAGCGGATGTGGGTGAGGACGAGTGGTGGAGCGGCAGAAAGAGGAGGAGGAGGTAGAGGAGGAGGACCCAGAGGAGGAGCAGGAGGAGGGAAAGAGATGGCGCCGTCCGGGGACGTCGAAGAATTTCGCTTGCGCCGCACCGAGGAGCGCTGCGGTACGGTTTCATGTGTACGCGCGCGCTGGCAGAAATGTCTGACAATGAATGACGACAGAACGCCTTCGTAGGCCCGCACATTGGCCCGCTTGTGGCTCAGGTGCCCCGGCGCGTAATACGAAGGAATGGCAAGCCATGCGAGTGAATGCCAAACAAACCGACGCAATGTGAAGCAATGCCGCAAAGTACAAAGAAATGCCAAGCCTAAGATGTCATGTTGCAGCGGTTCACAACGGGGCACGCGAAAGCAAGTAATTCTTGGGGAATGCACCGAATCCCAAGTTCGCAACAGCGCAACAGATTTCTGTGAAATATGGTTGCGAATTCGGGCCAATTTGGTGGAAAACGCCGTGTGGGCCTTGTTGGAGGTCTGGTGGGCCGGCTCGGGGCCCTCTCGAACCGTCCTCGGGCCATCTTGGGCAGTGTTGGAGAGTTTGGGCCCTCTAGGGGTCTACGGGGGCCTACGTGGGCCCTCCTGGTGGCCTCCCATGGCCTTTTGGCTTCTCGGGCTTCTCTTGGGGGCCTTGTGAGGGACTGTTGGCCTCTTTTTGGCCTATTCGGGGCTTCTTTGGGCAGTCTTGGGGCCATCCAGGCCGTCTAGAGGCTCTTTTGGGGGTCTCTTGGGCCGTCTTGGGGCTTTTTTGGTTGTTTTGGACGCTGCTTTGACCCGAACAGCGAATATGCTGAAAATGCACGTTTCCCGATGGGAATGAAGCGATTTTTGCGTTCTGGGAGTCCTGTTGAGGGCCTCCAGGGTCGTCTTGGGGCCTCTGGAGGCCATCTGGGTCCCTCTTGGAACGCTCTTGTGCTGTCTTGGGTCTCTCTTCGGCCTTTCTCATCACCGCTCTGATCGCTTAGGGTGTGCTGGCAAGACCCGGCTCAACGCTCTGGGAGGTCCGAGACGAGCCGGGGGACCCTTGGCAAGGGTGTCCGGGAGGCCCAGAAACCCCGGATCCTGGGGGTCTGTTTTTTTGGGGGGGGTCCCACCCCCCGGCGTGTAAAAACATAGGAAGAGAAATCTCTCTCTCTCTCTCTCTCTCTCTCTCTCTCTCTCTCTCTCTCTATATATATATATATATACGCAGGCACCCCAGCACCTATTCATTTTGCATTTTGCATCGGTCTTTGAGCTCTTCATTCGTGCTCTTACTGATCATCCGCCTTCTTTTCATCATTGCCTGCTCATCCGCCTTTCCTATTTGTCATTTCTCCGCTGTCTCCCGTGCTGGGATCTAATTTGAATCAGATGGATCTGGGATCTGCTCCACTCTAACTCGATTCTAGGCTCCGATGATAATCCAATTGGACACAGCTGGATCTGGGATGTGCCCTAATCCACTTAAATTCTCGGTCGATTCTAATAGGAATCTACTTGGAATTAGCTGGATTCGTGATCAGCTCGATTCCAAATGTATTCTCATTTGATTCCAGTACGGATCCAAGTGGAACCAGCTGGATCTTGGATCTGCCCAATTCGAATTCGATACCAATCGGGATCCAATTTGAATCAACTGTATCTGGGATTTGATCCGTGCTACTTAGATTATAATTTCATTCCTGTAGGAAGCACAGTGGAATCAGCTGGATCTAGTATCTGCCCAATTCCAATTAGGTTCTAATTCGATTTCAAGAGGGATCTAATTGGAATCAGCTGGATCTGTGATCTGCTCAATTCCAATGCGATTCTAATTCGATTCAACAAATAATCTAATTGGATTCAGCTGGATTCGGGATCTGCTCAATTCCAATTCGACTCGATTTGGATTCCAGTATGAATCCAATTGGAATCCGCTGGGTCTGGGATCTGCTCCATTCCAATTCGATTCTAATCGAATCCCACTCGTAGTCAAATTAGAATCCGCTGGATCCAAGACCTGCTCAATTCTAAATGCACTTTGAATCTGCTGGACCTGTGACCTTCTCCGTTCCAATTGGATGCTAATTCGATCCCAGTCGGAATCCAAATGGAATCAGCTGGATATGGGATCTGCTTCATTCCAATTAGAATCTAATTCGATATCAACAGGAATCCGATTGTAATCAGCTGGATGTGGGACCTGCCCAATTCTAATTCTATTCAAATTCGACTCCACTTGGACACAGCTGGATCTGGGTTCCACTCCACCCCAATTGGATTCTAATTGGATTCCACCAGCTGGATCTGGGATCTGCACCATTTCAATTCGATTCTAAGTAGATTCCCATGGGAATCCAATGTGAATCAGCTGGATCTGGGATTTGCCCACTCCTAGTTCGATACTACTACGTCCCAATGAGAATCTAATGGGAATCAGCTGAATCTGGGATCCGCTCCGCCCCAATTCAGTTCCAAGTGCATTCTAAAGGAATCTAAGTGTAATCTGCTGGATCTGGAGTCTGCTCGATTCTAATTGGATTCTCGTCGGGTGAGGAGAGAATCCTGGACAGCCCGCACAATCCCACGCACGGTTCGCGACGCCTGGGGTGCCCAACAATTTGTGTGCTTTATTTGGATTGTGGGGATTTGTGGGATGCGGACTGAAGAAATATTGCCTTTCCATGCCATTTTTTTTGTTTGTTCGGATATCTGGGGTTCTCATCTCCCAGCGACAGTCCCGCCCGGGAGCCCTCGAAGGTTCGGAGCCCCAGAAATCCTCCAAATCCAAGCGACAGCACACGAGTTCCTCAATTCTCATCCCAGAAATCCCAAGCATCCAAACGAAAACACCAGGTTTCGGCACCCCTGACATCGCAAACCTTGCGATTCCATTTTGGAGTTTGGATTCTATGGATCGGAGCTCCTTGGAGGGCGCCTGGGCGGGACTTTCGTTGGATGGATAAAAATCCGAAGAATCCAGAACATCCAAAGGAAAACACTTGGCTTCCTCACCTCTCATCCCAGAAATCCCAAACATCCACATGAAATCACCAGGTTTCCGCACCTCTGACATCGCACACCTTGCGATTTCATGCGTGGGATCGGACCTCACGCCTTGGGAAGCCGACCAGCGAGGCTGGGGAAAGAGAGAGAGAGAGAGAGAACATACACACACACACATATATATATATATATATATATATATGTATATATGTAACGAATACATATATAATTCACGAGAAATCGAGACATTTCTATATTATATATATAGGCAGGGAAAGAGAGAAACACACATATGTATATATATATATATATAGAGAGAGAGAGAGAGAGAGAGAGAGAGAGAGAGCGAAAGAGAGAGAGAGAGAGAGGTAGACGAGGAAGAGGAGGAGGATGAGGAGGAGGAGGAGGAAGGGATAGAGGAGGAAGAAAGGAAGAGCACCACCGGTAAATGCTGGTAAGAATGGGTGCGGGGGGGCTGTCCACACACATGTAGATAAATATACATTATATATATATATTTATATTATAATATATATATATATATATATAATATATACACATGTGCGTATAGATGTATCGCCGGTCGATCGGCGATAGGCACCCGATACTTAGCGACTCCGTACGGTCCTGGGCGGGGTCGAGATATCATGCCCCCATCGGCGATGAATGGCCGATTGAGGGCCGATGCATCCCCCCCCCCCCCGAGACTATCGGCCCTGACCTTGCCCACGAGGAGCTCTAGACGCCTCTCCCAAGACCGGCTTCCTCCTGCCGCCGGCAACTTACTGTACCCTGACGGCCCCACTGGGCCCGAAGACGGCCCCGGGGACCCGGGGAGGCAGAAGCTGCGGAGGAGGAGGCGGAGGAGGCGAGGAGGAGGAGAGGAGGAGGAGGAGAAGGGAGGAGTAGGAGCAGGAGGAGGGGAGGAGGAAGGAGGAGGAGGAGGGGAGGAGGGAGGAGGAGGAGGAGGGAGGAGGAGAGGAGGAGGAGAGGCGGAGGAGGAGGAGGAGGAGGAGGAGGAGGAGGAGGAGGAGGAGGGAGGAGGAGGAGGAGGAGGAGGAGGAGGAGGAGAGGAGGAGGAGGAGGAAGAAGAGGAGGAGGAGGAGGAGGAGCAGGAGGAGGAGGAGGATGAGGAGGAAGCGGAGGAGGATGAGGAGGAGGAGGAGGAGGAGGAAGAGGAGGAGGAGGAGGAGGAGGGGGAGGAGGAGGAGGAGGAGGAGGAGGAGGAGGAGGAGGAGGAGGAGGAGGAGGAGGAGCAGCGGAGCAACGAACGCCGCCCCGCTCGTCCACTGCGACGCCCAGAGGCCCGGGGGCCCCGCGGGGATCCGCCGGGGACCCTTCCGGCGGGGGCCGGAGCGTCAGAGGAGCGGATCCCGCGGCGCGGTGCGCAGCAGGGCCTCGAGCGAGCTCCTTCCCGGCGCCCCTAGCCTCAGGTCGGGCATGTCCTCCTGCAAGGGGGATTTTGGGAGAAAAATGCAAGATAGGCAAACAAATACAGCGAAATAGACCAAGAACAAATAACAGAAACATCCTCCCCAGACTACTTGTGGACTATCTTTGGAACCTTCCCCCTGTAGAGGGACATGCCCGACTTGACCCTGGCCCCCTGGCCGCGGCGACGAGGGCGCCCCCGAGGAGGCCCCACGACGCTCGGAGCTCCGCATTTCCAGATCGTGCCGATCCTCGATCGCCGCAGCCCAGCAGCCTGGGCACCTGCGCGGCGCGCGAGGGCGCGCCCGCCGCTGTGCGCGGGGGGTCGCCGAGGGCGGCGCCCAGGCGGGCAGCCGCGGGAACGCCCCGCTGGCCAGCTCCTGCAGGAGCGAGGCGCGGAAGGGCGGCGGAGGATCGAAGGGAGAGAGGGCTTCGGGAAGCTTCTCGCCGCCACGGCTGGATTCGCCTTCCGGCTCCACCCCAAGCCTTCGAGATGTTTTGATACGTCTGCGACTGATGCGGGTGCTTTTCCTACCTGTCGGTGCTCAGCACCGAGTTTGTATCCCAAAAGCCGTCGGCAGACAGCTCAGAAAGAAGAGCCGGCTTTGCGGGAGTGGTCGGGACCTCCAGGGACCTGATCCTGAAAAGTTCACGACCCCGACGCCACTATTTTTTCACGACGTGGGCCCCGGGGACCTCTGGACCCCTCCCCCGTGGCCGGTGTTTTGTGCAGGATCGTCTTGTGGCGGTCCTGCTGCCTTGGCCTCGGGGGGCCGAAGGCATGCAAGATCCATTCGTTGCTGCGTGCCTGTTTGTCGAGTCGTGCTGTGTTCGGACTTCGTCTTTGCGTGTACGTACTTTGAAGTGCATCTGCAAATGCATGTCTGTGTGTGTGTGTGTGTGCACTTAGAGATGCGTGTGCATGCGTGCGTGCGTGCGTGCGTGCGTGCGTGCGTGCGTGCGTGTGTGTGTGTGTGTGTGTGTGTGTGTGTGTGTGTGTGTGTGTGTGTGTGTGTGTGTGTGTGTGTGTGTGTGTGTGTGTGTGTGTGTGTGTGTGTGTGTGCGTGCGTGCGGTGTGTGTGTGTGTGTGTGTGTGTGTGTGTTGTGTGTGTGTGTGTGTGTGTGTGTTGTGTACGCACTTTTGATGTACGTGCGTATGCATGCATGCGTGTAAATATGCGTGCATGCGTGCATGCCTGTGTTGTATGTATGTATGTATGTATGTATGTATTGTATGTATGTATGTATGAATGTATGTATGTAAGTATGTATGCATGCATGCATGCATGCATGCATGCATGCATGCATGCATGCATGCATGCATGTGTGTACGTATGTATACACACCAATGACATGCATATGAACATCTGCGTGGCACACGGGAGCGACGTGTGGCAGGGCCCGGGGGGGACCGGCGCCCCGACGCCGCCGCCAGCGGTGCCCCCTGCGGCGCGGAGGGCGCCCCAGGCCGCAGGGCCCGGGTGCCGAGGGCTGCCTGCAAACGCCTCCTCCTCCTCCTCCTCCTCCCTCCTCCTCCTCCTCCTCCTCCTCTCCTCCTCCTCCCCCCTCCTCCTCCTCCTCCTCCTCCTCTCCTCTCCTCCTCCTCCTCCCTCCTCCTCCTCCTCCTCCCTCCCTCCTCCTCCTCCTCCTCCCTCCTCCTCCCTCCTCCTCCTCCTCCTCCTCCTCCTCCTCCTCCTCCTCCTCCTCCTCCTCCTCCTCCTCCTCCTCCTCCTCCTCCTCCTCCTCCCCCAGGCCGCAGGGCCCAGGCCGCAGGGCCCGACTGACCTCTTCGGGGGACGTCTGTGCGCAGCCCCGCGCCTGACCACTCGCCATCGCTCGGACGTTCATCCCCCGTGCCTGATCTCGTGCGCGTGTTTTTTTGTCGCTGGATGGTCAAAGATGCTCCTCGATGGTCCTCGCCGAGAAGAGATGCACACGTCCGAGCGTTGCCCAGACCACCGAGGGGAGGCAGGAGCCGGCCTCCTCCCCAAAGCGAAGCCAGGGCAGGGCGAACATCGGGTGACGAGAAGTCGAGAACCTCTGAGATTCCGCGGCTCCGGAAGAGGTCTCGGGCGCCGCGGCCTTCTCGGAGCGTCACGGAACGCCCTGAGGGCGATGCAGGACGCTCTGGAACGGATGTATGCTCGTCCTAGCCCCGTCCGTCTTGAGCCCCGGATGTATGACGCCCCAGCACGGACCCGGTGCGCATGTCCGTGCTTGAACCTGGCAATTTTGACACAGGATCGTCATCAGGACCTCGGAAAAAGAGGTCGGCCCCGACAGAACTGGGGCAACATGGTGATGAACAATTGTCTACGCGTGGCCGGCTCCGCCGCTCGCCTTGCTGATTACTTCCGCCCGGAGGGCGGTGCAGCTCGAGCCTGGGCGTCGGCCGTGCGATTGTGGCACATGTAGTGCATTTTTCCCATCTCTGCCAGCGCACCGTCTGGTGCAAGGCCTCTGACTGACTGACTGACTGGCCCCGTCCGAGTCCTCCCCGGAGATCCGAGGTCGCGAACAAGATGCAGCTTGGCGTCGCAACTTCGACCGGAGCCCAGGACCCCATCTTTCTGCAGCACTCTTCGAGCCGGACCAGCAGCGCCATCCTCGAGCTCGGCCCTGCCGCGGCGACGACGGGGCAGCGCGGAGGCGCCTCCGCCGCGGAAGGTCGCCCCATGGGGCGCGGGCTGTCACGGCCTCCGCCGCAGCAGCGCCCCGAGGCCCAAGGACAGCCGCGGCGACGAGGAGCCTGAGCGCCGAGCGGGCCCCAGAAGCGCACGGACCCACCCACCGCGAGCCTCGAAGAAGCCTCGAGGAGGAGAAAGACATGGGGGTATGATGCGGGCCCAGAGGTTATAGACGAGGCAAAAAAGGCACAAACATTTTTTTTGGGCGCTCCGCGCGGACTTCTTGGATCTGCGCTGACCCCCCCGCGCCGGAGGCTGCGCAGGGCAGGGCTGCCAGGCTCTCGCGGCCCCCTCGGGCCAGGCGCCGCTGCCGGCGCTCGACGCCGTGGCTCGGGGGCCCTTCGGCGGCCCTCCGAAAGACGTCGGAAGGCCTCGGCGGCTCTCTCTGGCCCTCGGAGGCCCCCCCGCGGCCCTCGGAAGTCCTCGGAAGTCCTCGGAAGCCCTCGGCGGCCCTCGGCGGCCCTCGGAGGCACCGAGCGGCCCGCGGGAGGCCTCGGGTGGCGGGGCGCGCGCCTCAGGCCCGACACTTTTTTCGGGCACGGCGCCCGGTCCCCTCGGTGAGTGCCAGGTGCCCGCCGCCAAGGAAGCAACCGAGCGACGACAAGCTTGCTCAAAGGGAGAAGGGAGAGGAGGTGAAAGGAGAAGGCGCCGCCAGGCGAATGCCGTTCCACTCGTCGGTCATACTGCTTAGCGCGGGAATATGGAGGGAGAAACGGACCGATACAAAGTAATCCATACAGCGCATCAGAACTATGAGGAACGGAAGAGGAGGAAAAGGAGGATGACGCCAACATGCCTGGACACATGCATTTAGCTCTCCCACCCAAGCTTCAAATGGTCACTGAGCGAGCTCAACGCCTACCAGCGCACGGCGTTAAATATCGGTGCATCGACCTGTTTGTAACCTCGTCCGCACGGGAGGCAAAATGCACCGAGTGGGAACCGACGCAACGATCCACGAAACACGCGCGACAGCCGCTCGAACTGAGAGAACATTGAATAACACAGAGTGGCGTACAAGGCGGTCGCCCAAATCCCGAGACCAGAGAGGCGCGGAACTCGAGGGCGCGATACGCCCGCACGGGGAGCTTCATGTCTGACGCGATACTATAAGACGAGAGTGATAACACACGAAACCATTCATACACACATATATATATATATGTATATATATAGATATATAGAAAGATATATAAAGAGAGCGAGAGAGAGAGGGAGATAGCGATACGTATACATATGCATATCTCTATATATAGAGGTGTATGGAGAGAGAGAGAGAGAGAGAGAGAGAGAGAGAGAGAGAGATAGAGAGCGATGCATGCACATGCATGCATCTACACACATGCACATTTATAACGTTACACACATATGCATCGTTATATCGATACATATATAAACATACACGCATGCACATGAGTATACTTTTGTATATATGTCGACGGACTACACACATATATATATATATTCATACATATATTTATAGATATGTATACATACATATACGTACATATGTATATGGAGAGACATCGAGAGAGAGAGGGAGATAAATAACGGGGGAGAGAGAAAGAGACAGGTCGAGAGAGAGAGAGCGAACCGAATGACCACAAGCACACCGGGCCTGGACGATTGCGGCAACACAGGCGCGGCGCCGTCGCACATGCCCTCGGGCGTTGCAGGACCACTCGGCCCCCTGCAGTGGCTCTGACCCTGAGGGCTGGTGCTGCTCCTCGGAGCGCGGGCGCTGAGAACCGCGCGCACCTGATGCCCTGCAGGAGGAGGAGGAGCAGGAGCAGGAGCAGGAGGAGGAGGAGGAGGAGGAGGAGGAGGAGGAGGAGGAGGAGGAGGAGGAGGAGGAGGAGGAGGGGGAGCGAAAGGGGGGGGGACTGGCTCAGGCGGGGGGGGGGGACATTGACCTGGAATCGGCGATGCATAGATCGGCGACAGGCCCTCGATGGCGAATCCGCTGGGCCCTGGGCGGGGCGGGCCATCGGGCCCTTGTCGGCGAGCAGTGGGCGATTTGGGGGTCGACGCGTTCCCCCCCCTCCGTGAGCCTTACTTATCCCCCCCCTCGGCGTTGCCCCTGATTTGCCATCGCTCAGACGTCCACTCCCCCTTCGTGTCTTTTGGTTTCGTGCATTTTCAGCTTTTCTCTCGCAGGATGGCCCAACATGCTCCTCGATGGTCCAGGCTTTCTGGCGCTGGCCTCGCCGAGCAAACAATACACACGTCCGAGCGATGCCGAGCTGAAAGGAATGGCTGCTGCCCACAGGGCCCACCCTAGGGCCGAGGTAGGCCCTAGGGTACATGTCCGAACACTACCCACGGCCTACCCTCGAGCCTACCCCTAGGCCTAGGGTAGGCCTAGGGGTACGGGGTAGGCCCAAGGGGTAGAACGGACCGAACCATGGATAGCCCTAAGAGGAACAAGCAACTGCACAAACATAAACTTTCGGAGCTCCGCGCGGATTTCTTGGACCTGCGCTGGACCCCCCCCTGGTGCGCGGAGCGCCCCAGGGGCGGCTCCGGAGGCACCGCCAGGGGCGTCCAGCGCCGATCCAAGAGATCCGCGCGGACCTCCAAAAGTTTAGGTTTACCCATCGGTTGGAAGAAGTGGGTGGAAACACGAAGTAGGAAAACGCGTTGAAAGTAGGCCCGGGCGCGGGGCGTCCAGGGGGGGAGAGGGCGCGGCGTGGCAGGGGAGGACGACGAGGGCGAGGGCCAGGGCGAGGACGAGGACGGCGGCGCTGGGCGTCCAGGGCTCTCCTTGAGAGGCGGCAGGAGGCCGTGCTCCTGGCGGGCAGGGGCGGCCCGTCGCCGCCAGCGGCGCGCCCCCGCCGAGCTCGCGCGCGCGCGTGCGCGCTGCCCGCGGGGGTGGCGCGGGGGCTGTGAGAGGGGTGATCGGGCAATGCTACCAGTCTGCTATACCCACCCCCTGCGGGATGGCGCCTGCATACGGCACATGGCCGCAGGACACCCCGCAGAGACGCGTGCGCCTTGAGGGTCACGCACAAGAGGAGTCTGCAGGTGTCGCCGCCGGCCTGGCCTGGGACGTCTCCCACAGGGGCAGCTCGCGCGCAGGCGCCCGCATGCGCAAGCGCGCCCGCGCGCAAGCGCGCGCCGCGCCGCCGTCGCGGCGGCCCTCCTTCTGGCCGCCGGCTAGTGCCCGCCCCAGTTCCTCCGGACACTCATAGCGTCGGAAAGAGTTCGCCCACCTCGGTCACACAGCTCGGCCTGCCGCAGCATCCGTGCTCGCGCATCCCGGGGCGGGAACATCCAGAGGCATGAATGCCAAGTGACCTCGGCTGGCAGCCGGTGCATGACCTCGGCGAACCAGCGTATGTAAATGTAGTGGGCAATACCGAAACGTTGGCCTGCAACATGCGCCCAACCGCCTCCGCATCCTCCTCAAGCGCGGCCTAACCAACACCTTCTGAGACGTGCCCCTACGATTAGGTCGGGCGTGTCCTCTTGCAGGCGGATTTTTGGGCGAAGCATGACACATATCCAACAAGATGCAATAATGGTCAAAAACGATGGAAAAATCGTCCCCAGACTATTTTTTACACAACTTTTGAATACTCCCCCTGTAGAGGGACAGGCCCGACGTAACCCTCCGGCCCCCTCGCCCTCGATGCTTCCCTCTGGCAACCTGCCCTCGGGCTGCCAGGGTCGGTGAGGCCGCCCCCGGCCTCCCCCCTCGCCCTCCCGCCTTCATATCCCCCGCACCCCCCTGCGAGGCGCGAGCAAAACGAGAGTCCGAAACCGTCACCGAGGCGACGGTGTGCGTGGCGCGCGATGCTGCTCTTCGCCCTGCTCCTCTACCCTGATGCTCCCGGTCCTGGTCCCCGTCGACGTCGCGCTCCTGCTCCTCCTGCTGCTGCTGGGAACCCTCGTGCTCCTGCTTCTTCATCCTCCACTCATCCTCCTGTTGCCGCCACCACCGCTGCTGCTGCAGCAGCTGCTGCTGCTGCTTCCCCCACGACGATTGCCAACGCCGACTGCTACTCGGGCACGTCACCGCGCCCGGGGTCAGCAAAGGAACGGGCCCGTTTTCGCCACGGGAGGGCACATCAGAAAAATAGGATGCAGGAGGAGGGGAGGAGGAAGGGGAGCGAGGAGGAAAGGTTGGAGAACATGCTCTGTTCGAAAAGAGAACCCAACCAATGGGAAGGTTGAGAAGAACGACAATTTCCCGGGAGGCCCCCCAGAGGTCCCAGGGAGATTCGTAATAAACTGTCAGGGGCCTTCATGCCCGAAGCCTCGACCATCGAGCGTTCACGATGAGGTCTCGGGAGTGGACTACAGTCGGCCCGTATCATAAGGACGCGCGATAAGGATGCAAGGAACTTGGACACCCACTTCGCAGTTTCTCAAGCGGGGCACGGCCAGCGAAAGTCGCTAAGGATGGGCTGACGGGGCAAGAATGCAAGGGTACCCATGGGAAGGTTGCCCATCCTTACCATGCGGGTCCACTGTAAGCTGGCTCAGCGCAAACCTGGCTCAACCGATGTGGTAAAACTGCGCTGCGATCTTTGGGGGGCCTCGTGAACCCGGCGCAACCTATGTATCAGGCTCCCTCCAGGACCGCGAGCGGCTCCCAAACCCGGCCAAGCCAAAATCAGCCCAAAGACAATATAGATCGGCCTCGAATTTCCAGAATCATAAAAAACGGCAAACACATAATTTTTTGGCGCGCTGCGCGGATTTCTTGGATCTGCGCTGGGCCCCCCTCCCTGGCGCGCAGAGCGCGCCAAGGGTGGCGCCGGATGCGCCGCCGGGCCCTCTTCGGCTTCCCGCGCTCTGCCCTTCCCCTCCCCCTCGTTGCCTCGTGAGTGGGCGGCCCGGGAGCAGAGAACCAGCAACAAGGAAGTGGTGCGAAGTGGCCCCCTCTTCTGAAGGGGCCCAGGGACACGCAAAAATAAGCAGACACAATCCCAAGATCCCCCATATGTTCCAATATATTTCCTGGAGTCCGGTCTTCCCTCCGCTC